TGCGACCGTCATAAATATGACTCGGTTGCTAAGTAGCCGAATTTTGATCATGTGACCACAGGGATGCTGCAATGGTCGTAGGTGTGAAAAAGGATCCTAAGTTACTTTTTTCAGTGCGTTGTAACCTTAAATGTCACTAAATGAATAGTTGCAACTCAAGGACTATCTATAATTGAGTCCATCCTCTTTGTTGCTAGTCATCCTCTTCTTCTTTTACCTTCCATCTTTCTCAGCATCAGAGTTTTCTCCAGAGAGTTGAGGTTTTGCACAATGATGCATTTTTGACAGCCAATTTGGTACCATCTGCACGGAAACTGAGCTTTATGCAAGCTTTAGAAGTTTAGAAAACAGCTGACAAGGCCAATTCTTAATGTAAGGCTGCCCTCTGGTGTTCCTCACATCGTTGTCGAAAGCTTTTACGATCCAAATCAAAACCTTTATTATATAGTCCAGTGTTTCTCAACCTTGACAATTTTAAGGCATGTGGACTTCAACTCCCAGAATTCCACAGCCAGCAATGCTGGCTGTGGAATTCTGGGAGTTGAAGTCCACATGCCTTAAAATTGTCAAGGTTGAGAAACACTGATATAGTCCATGGGCCAGAAAAATACAACAATAAATAATGACAACTCTAATTAGCAATAAAAGATTTTTTTTTTTTTAAAAAAAAATGTATTTATTTATTTATTTAATGTATATGCCACACCCATCTCGCTATGCGAGATGACCCTGGGAGGCAATAAAAATTGCAAATAAAGGTGATATAAAATACATAAAATAGACAGTTGCAATAAGATTACAGAAACTTCAGTCAGAACAGAGCTGGAAGGGATATTGGAGGTCTTCTAGTCCAACCCCCACCACTCAAGCAGGAGATCCTATATCAATTCAGACAAAGTGACTGTCCAGTCTCTTCTTAAAAACCTCCTGATGAAGCATCCACAATTTCTGAAGGTAAATTGTTAAGGTTAATTGTCCTTACTGTTAGGAAGTTTCTCGCCCAATCTGTACTTGTACCTTTGATTTTTCCTGCCTAAATGTAAAACTTTGCTTTTCTCCACATTGAAACTCATTTTGTTGGACAGGGCCTATTGTTCAAGTTTGTCAAGACCTTTCTGGATCCTGAATTTGTCTTCTGGGATGTTGGCTACTCCTGTCAGTCTGGTGTCATCTGCAAATTTGATGAGTTCCCCTTCAATTCCCTCATCTAAGTCATTGGTGAAGATATTGAAGAGTACTGGGCCTAAAATGGAACCTTGTGGTACCACTGCTTACTTCTCTCCATGAGGATTATTGTAGTAACTGTAACACAAATAGCAGTGACACTTGCAAATCATTGGGAAGACAGATACAACAAATGGCACCACAAAATTAGGCAGCGAAAAAAGATATTTCAGGATCCTGGGCAGATAAAAGCAGTGACAGCAGATATTGTGCTCTCTACTAGGGAAGGTTTTTTTTTTAAAGGGATAAATATACAGCTTCCTTTATTTATTATAGAGGCAGCCACAAAGGAGCATATGACATGGGGATTTCAGATAAAGTCTGCTGAAAAGGAATGTTTTAATACCACTTCCACAGAACTGCAGAAAGCAGAACATTCAGTCAAAGTTCAACAACATTTCAGAATTAGACTTTGAGAAGGATCCATTTACTGTAGTGTCAGATACCAGGCTTAAATTGGCTTGAAAATCAATATCCAAGACAGGGATAAGTTGTTTAAGATGAATCCTGGCATGTTGAAGCCCTAATGGTCAGGGACTTTTCAAAGAAAATTCTAAGGAGTAGAGTTTGCGATTAGTTTTTGTTCGCCAGATTGATTTAAAACGGGGTCAGAGAATCAGTGGAGTCAGAAGAAAAAAAATATCCATTTCAACCATAAAGTAGAGAGGTAGAGCCAGGCTTGTCTCCACAAACCCAACTTATCTCTAACTGTAAAACAACATTCTTGATACATCTTGGAACTGCGAATATTGCTCTTATAAATTAAGAATAATAATATAATTTATAATATAATATAATATAATATAATTAATATAATATAATATAATATAATATAATATAATATAATATAATATAATATAATATAATAATATAATATAATATAATATAATATAATATAATATAATATAATATAATATAATAAATATAATATAATATAATAATATAATATAATAATATAATAAATATAATACTATACTATACTATACTATACTATACTATACTATACTATACTATACTATACTAATACTATACTATACTATACTATAACATAACAGAATAGAACTGGAAGGGACCTTGGAGGTCTTCTAGTCCAGCCCCCTGCTCAAGCAGGAGAACCTGTCCTATACCATTTCAGGCAAGTGACTGTCTAGTCTCTTCTTAAAAACTTCCAGTGTTGGAGCATTCACAACTAAATATGGACTGGAAAGGCACCAGGATATTAAACTTTGTAAAAATGCAAATTGGAACATCATAAAGAAGCTGAGAAAGGACTTAGCAAACAAAACTTTGCAAACTGCAGGAAGAAAATGTACCTCCTTTGAATAGAAGAATCTTAAGACAGCTGTGGGGGCCCACTTGCCTGATAAGAAAAATATGTGCTTCAAGATAAGGAAACCTGGAACTCACTTCAAGGTATTTATAAGTATCTACCTGCTCTATTGAGGACTGTTTAATCTGTGTTGTGCAAACACTAGTCCTTTAGGGTTTTTTTTAAGTTTATTACACATTGTTCTTTTAGCAAAAGGACACCAATGCTCACAGTGTCCTTCTGATTCCTGTTGGAGAAATAGGCAAAATTACCATATCATCTGCATACAGCAAGGCTGGGATTGCACGATCTGCAAAAATTGGGGACGGATGGTTAGACGACGAGAGAGCCTGAATTATTGATGTACAAATTAAAAAAAGTGAGAGGGCTACTTTACACGCTTGCCTTATCCCTCTTTTGGTGGAAACAGCTCCCAAGAGGAGCATCTGAGCCTCAATGAGATGTAGATAAGGCAGGATAAGAGTCTGGATAAGAGGGAACAATCTTTTATACACTGGGGATTCCTGAAATCCACAAAGATTGAAAAAAATGGTGCCTTTGGACAGTGAGGTGTATTTTTCAGTTAAACAGTGCAAGACCAGACAGTTGTCTAAGGTTGAATGGTCCCCTCTAAATCCCATCTTTTTTTTTTTTTTACAAGATTTTCACTTTGGGCCCAATCCAACAGTTTTAAATAAAGGCACTTTGCATATTGCTTCCTTTTTGTACTAAGCAAGCTAATTGGTCTACAGTTGGCAGGGCAAAGTCTGTTTCCTGTATTCCTATAGAGAAGGATAATATCACCCAGATGGGAAACATGCTGTGCTGTTAATGTAACTAAAAAGAGCAACCAACATTGGGACCCATCTTCCTTTCCTTTCCTTTCCTCTCTCCCCTCCCTCTTTTCTTCCCCCTGGGTTACACATCAGATCTGAGGTAATGCAACCCCGTCAAGACTGAATATTATAAACATTTATATCCCATTCACACCACTCCGTCTTACCAGGGTTCAGCCAAAGTCTTTTGTTCCCCATCCAGGCCTTCACAGCCTCCAGGCACCTCAAAAGAATGTCTACTGCATCACTCACTTCACCCAGGATGGAGATACATAACTGGATGTCAGCAGGATGCCATCCTACCCTGGATATCAACTGGGTATAGCTAAACTCATGATGGTGGATGATCTCACCCAGTGGTTTCATGTAGATCAGGGGTAGTCAACCTTGGTTCTTTTATGACTCGTGGACTTCAACTCCCAGAATTCCTGAGCCAGCTTAGCTGGCTCAGGAATTCTGGGAGTTGAAGTCCACGAGTCATAAAAGAGCCAAGGTTGACTACCCTTGATGTAGATGCTAAACAGGAGCCCAGACAGCCCTGTGGTACCCCACAGAGCAGGGGCCGAGAGCTGGACCTCTCACTCCCTATCAATACTGATTGGGACCAAACTTGGAGGAAAGAGGTGAACCAGGACAAATTGTGTCACTCGCCGTAAACTCCGTAAGTTGGCCCCAAAAGATAACTAGGTTGATGGTATTGAAAGCTGACAAGAGATAGAATAGAACAGAATAACAGAGTTGGAAGGGATCTTGGAGGTCTTCTAGTCCAACTCCCTGCTCAGGCAGGAAACCCTGTACCATTTCAGCAGGCACCATTTTGGAATAGACAAAATTCATGTCAGTCACTCCCAAAATGGTGCCCACTTCTGGGATGGTGCCACACAGTCTATGTAGGAAGACCATGTGTTGGATTGGCTGCTTCCCAATAGATCTCCTTTGGGTAAGTGACTAAGCTGTGATGGGAAGTGAAGAGGATGGTGTGGGACCAAAGGGGGTGGGAAGCAGGCCCAAGGCTTCAGAGACCCAAGGGGCAGGATGATGGCGGGAGATAAATGAGGGGCACTGCAGTCAGTGAGATTGCCAAGTGCCCAAGTTTTGTTCATGTGACTGTGGCGGTACTCAGCAGCCATAAATTTGGGCAGCGATCACGAGTCCCTTCGTTCAGCACTGTTGTAATTCTGAAGGTGAGGATCACTTGTACTGTATCTCCCTCAAGATACATTCCTACACACTCAAGGCACTAGTAATAGCAATAGCAGTAGCCCTGAGACTTATATACGGCTCCATAGTGCTATATAGCTGTTTACAGAGTTAGCATCTTGCCCCCAACAATCTGGGTCCTCATTTTACTCACCTTGGAAGGATGGAAGGCTGAGTCAATCTTGAGCTCTGTCAGGATTGAACTCCAGGTTGTGGACAGAGTTTGCCTGCAATACTGCATTCTAACCACTGCGCCTCCAGGGCTCACTAACTTATGCAGGTTAATTTTAATAGAGGCTAATTGCTCGAACACTGAAATAATAGCTTGCCTATGAGCAAACACTGTTTTACCATGAATTCAATTGAGCCATCCTGTGAAAACAGTTCCTCCCAGTCCTTACCATGTGCGATTATGTTCTTATTTTCTTTAGAAGAAGCTGGAGCTAGCAGAACAGACTGAAGAATGAAAAGGGAGGGCTGGCATAGAATCAGAACAGTCTATTAAATCTTCGCCAAGAGAAACAGAAAGCTCCGATAATTGTTGCTTTTCTGTTTCTCTTTGCAAGTCCCATTCAAGAGCCTCAAAATTATTAGAGATGGGAAATAGGGTTAATTTACTTAGTGTCTCCTTTTGTAGGAGAAGTTCATCCATTTTTGGCAGTTCGGCTGTCTTGCAAGAATGCTGAGCCACAACTGGCTATGCCCATTCTCCCAGCCAGAAGCCTCTATTCCAGGGGTAGTCAACCTTGGCTCTTTTATGACTCGTGGACTTCAACTCCCAGAATTCCTGAGCCAGCTAAGCTGGCTCAGGAATTCTGGGAATTGAAGTCCACGAGTCATAAAAGAGCCAAGGTTGACTACCCCTGCTCTATTCTCTATTCTCTGGATTGGCTCTCGCTCATGTTTTCTTTTTGCTGTCCTTTTGGATCAGGCCGTCCGCTCTCTGCTGGCGCCAATCACAGATGTCGACAAAGGCGCAATAGGAGCATTTCCAACTGTCTTCAATGTCCACTCCCTTGGGATCTCTTTGCCCTTTCCAATACGATAAGAGATAATGGGACATGGACATCAATTCATCATGGTCATAGGTGATGACTTCGGTGTCCAGCAATGTGTTGGTCTTCTGATGAATGTACTCAATTTGAAGGTGGTCAATAGCCGGAATGTCTGAGTGGGTCAAGTTGAGGAGCACCAGTTCCAGGAGGTCTTCAAAGCAGTGCACCATGAATCCAGCTTTTTGAGCATGTTCTTGGATTTCCTGGCCAAGTGGCTGTTTGGGCTTCAGATGAAGGTGATGTATGAAAATATCTTGGGTTAAGCATCCTTGCACCATAGCATCAAAGAGATATTTATATAAAGAGACCTGCAATGAATCAAGCATCCCTTCTTAAATTGATTCAATTTTCAGCCTCACCTGTGTCTTACTGAATACAGGTAGACCTCAATTTACAACCACAATTGGGATCAATATTTCCATGCTAAGCACAATGGTTATTAAGTCAGTCACACTCGATTTTTTTCTTTTTTGCTGCCATGGTTGTTAAGCAAATCACTGCAGTTGGTAAGTGAATCACACTAAGCCTATCCAGCTTCCCCCACTGACTTTGCTCAACATAAGCTGGCTGGGAAGGTGGCAAATGGTGATCACATGAGCGTGAGACACTGCAACTGTTGTAAATGCATGACTGTTGCCTAGTGCTGATATTTTGATCACATGACTGTAGGGATGTTGAGATGGTCATAATGTTGGAATTCATTGTTGGAACGTATTTTTAATCAACAATTACAGAAGTATTCAGCCAGTAGATGGCAGTGTTTACAAGTCTGGATTGATGGTTTGGATCTATGCTCTTTCATTTGAAGCAGAAGTCCCAATTTCCTGTTACAGTTAAATAGTTGAGCAGTAAAGCACATGGTGACTGTACTCTTTGCTCTGTGGTGCTATATACAGTGGTGGAATTCAAATACCTGAACAACCGGTTCTCTTAGCCGATGCAGGCCTGGGCCTCCGAGGCCTAGACTGGGCTTCTGGAAGCCAGCTGGTTCTCCGAATGCAGCAAAATTTAGATACTGGTAATACCGAACCGGTGTGAACCAATTGAATCCCACCACTGGCTATATATAAAGATATTTTCTAACATATAGGTGTAAAGACTGATATCAAGTGTCTTTTTTCAATGCCATTGTAACTTTGAATGGTAACCAAATGAATAGTTGTAAGATGAGGATTATCTGTATTTAGATGTATATGAGGGCTTACTGGAGTTTGATATGCCCACTTTAAAGGTTTAATACATATTTCCTGCATGGAAATGTCTCATGCTGTCCTCCAGACTGCCAAAAATATTGTTTATTGGTTTCTCTAAGTCTAAATCCCAGGATCCTTTGGTACATTCACTATCGTCGACTTCAAATAAAATCTGATAATATTTCAGTTCTAAGCAACATTTCAGTTTAGAACATTTCAATTCTAAGCAACCATGATTAAAATGTATCAGATGTCAAAAAAGATTGGGGTATCTCTGCTGACCCTACATTAAATCTGAGTCAGCCCTGTGATGCAGTGGGTAAATAAGCAAATGCTATCAGGGGTGGGAGGAAATTAACACAAGCAGAGAATTCAGATCATGGGGAGTAATTGTCCCATTTTATTTCTCCCTGATCAGACTCCATTTGGAGTATGGGATCCAGTTCTGGAGACAACAATAGTCTTCAAATCTCAGACAGATTGTCATATGAGGGAAGAAATGAGTTTATTTTCTTTTGCTTCAGAGGGCAGGACCAGACTCATTGGGTTAAGGAAGATCAAATTCAATCAGAACACAGCTGGAAGGGACCTTGGAGGTCTTCTAGTCCAACCCGCTGCTCAAGCAGGAGATCCTATAGTACCATTTCAGACAAATGGTTGTCCAGTCTCTTCTTAAAAACCTCCAGTGATGAAGCACCCACCAGTTCTGATGGCAAGCTGTTCCATTGGTTATTGTTCTCACTGTTAGGAAGTTTCTCCTTAATTCCAGGTTGCTTCTTTCCTTGATTAGTTTCCATTGTTTCTTGTCCTGCCCTCTGATACTTTGTAATATAAGTTGACCCCCTCCTCTTTGTGGCAGCCCCTCAAATACCGGAACACTGCTATCATGTCCCCCCAGTCCTTCTTTTCTCTAGACTAGGCAAACCCAAATCCTGCTACTGCTCTTCCTATGTTTGAGTCTCCAGGCCTTTAATCATCTTGGTTGCTCTTCCCTGCAGGAGATATTACCTGACTCTATGAACTCTCAACCTATGGAAAAGGCTCTCGCATGAAGGGCTAAATTCCCCTTCACTGAAGTTCAACAGCAGCTACACGACCATCGTGCAGATACGTTCTAGTGCAGCGTTTCTCAAGCTTAGCCACTTTTAAGAAGTGTAGACTTCAACACCTGAGATTTCCCCAGCCAATATTGCTGGCTGGGGAATTCTGGCAGTTGAAGTCCACACTTCTTAAAAGTGGTCAAATTTGAAAAACCACTGATCTAGTGGATCCTGCATCGAGTTGGTAGGTGGATTAGATGACTTCTAAGTTCCTTCCCAACTCTTTGGTTTTTTACTGACCCAGTTGAATGCATGGTGTGAATGCAGGCAATTCCCTCCCTATATCCGGGTTCCAAGCCTCCCCTCCAGCCAGCCTAGGGTCTCCAATCCCACCCTGACCCACCTGGAAACGGTCCCTCTTCTTCTGCGCAGGTCCAGGCATGTAGGCTTTTTCCCTTGTCTTCAATTCATTCAGTTGCAATTCGCCTTTAGCCGTATAATTTAGCTGGTCAATGATCCCGGACACAAAAACGCCTTCTAACACGCCAAAGACCGGGCATTCCCGCACACGCCAACCTGCCAGGGAGAAAACCACATTTAAGCACCTTTGCCATCCTGAGAGGCACGGGGAGCGTTCCACGAGCAGAGTGCCCACCTTTTCGTAGATTAGCTACGGTCAGGAGGATGTTAACCAGCTTGACGGCCCATCCATCTTCTCGGCTTGCAGTCTTCACAGGCACCAGGCTATGATCTTGCAGTTCTGGATTGAGGCAGCCACAGAGAAAGAATGTTGCTTTCCTGCTCTCAAAATTAACCACTTATCTCTACAGCAAGGCGGCACGGTGGTCTAGCGATTAAGATGCTGGGCTTATTGACCGGAAGGTTGGTAGTTTGAGACCCAAGCATGACAGGGTGAGCTCCAGTCCTTGCTTCAGTTCCTGCCAACTTAGCAGTTCGAAAGCATGCAAATGCGAGTAGATAAATAGGCACCACTTTGGTGGGAAGGTAACTGTCAATGCTGCTAACATTGGATGCTCTTGCTTTGACAATATATGGAGATGCAGCCTTTTTCTTTCTTATGCTTAACTCTTAGCATTAGATGATACTGGGGAAGGAGGAGGAATGTGATGGGAGTTAGTTAGACATAACAATATTGTAACAGTGTGTGAATTCAGGGCTTTTGAAATAAGAGATGATAAGAGATGGCGGGATGGAGTAATGGAGGGAAAGTCTGCATTTCAAACAATTGGAGAATGTGATTTATGACTGTAAATTAGAGGAGGGAATTGTGCTTTGATACTATGTGTTCAGGGGAGGGGATTTCAGATTTTGGCTTCAACTATGTTAGTGCCAAAGCTATGCTACTCCAATAAAGATTATTTAAGGTAAACAATGCCTTGAAGTTCTTTGAAGAGTTTCATCTGTCGGAACCATGACAGTAACAGTGTTCCATGTGACTGAATTGTATTGTCATGCTGGCCATATGCCTGCAGACGCATCTCCGTACAGCCCTGGCTCCCTTGACTAGGAAACAGAGATGAACACCACCCCCTAGAGTTGGACACGACTGGACAGGGGAAACTTTTACCTTTACCTTTTAATTCTACAGCAAATCGCTCCCCTCGCCCCCCCCGTGAGGGTCTGAGAAAAATTGTCAGCATTAGTTTTCTCGTTCCCCTTCACTGGCTTCAATGACAGAGCAAATAGCAGCTCAATAGCACAACCCAAACAGTGCAGGAAGACCTTCACTTAACAACCATTCGTTTAATGGCCGTTCAAAGTTACAATGGCATTGAAAAATGTGACTTGCGACCAGTTTTCACATTGACAAAGGTTGCAGCATCCCCACAGTTACGTGATCCAAATTTGAGCTCTTGGCAACCGGTATGTCAGTATGACAGTTGCAGCATCCTGGATTTGACAAGTGGGAGAAGCCAGTTTCCCTTAACGATCGCATGTTTTGCTTAACAACTGTAGTGATTCGCTTAACAACTGTAGCAAAAAAGTCATAAAATTGGGCATGACTCACTTAATGACTGCCTTGCTTAGCCACGGAAATTCTGGTCGCAGTTGTGATTGTTAAGTCTGGGACTATCCATAGCTCCTGTTTAGAATTACAGCCAACCAGTTGTCTGTGCCCTTTCTCAGACATGCCATTACATTACTATCTGGTCTATTTGAGTAGTTATACCCTGGCATTAAGATGGCCCTTGCACTACACTAGGAGTAGACAACCTTGGCTCTTTTATGACTCGTGGACTTCAACTCCCAGAATTCCTGAGCTGACATGGCTCAGCATGGAAACCTCTTTCTTTCTCCTCAGCATGGCTGGCTCAGGAATTCTGGGAGTTGAAGTCCATGAGTCATAAAAGAGCCAAGGTTGCCTACCCCTGCCCTACACTTTTAAGTTTTTGGAAAGGGGTGAGTTTTACTGTCTCTTTCTTGAGCTTTTAGGAAGATTTGGGGCTCTACTTTTCTTCTGCATTATTGAGCAACTATAAATCTGTTTAAACCAGCGTTTCTCAACCTCAGCCGTTTGAAAATCTGTGGACTTCAACTCCCAGAATTCTGGCAGATCAGGGAATTCTGGGAGCTGAAGTCCACACATCTTCAAGTTGCCAAGATTGAGGAACACTGATTTAAAGGATTATGCCATTTCCCTCTTAAAAATGACTAGAAACTGAATGGCCTTAATTTTAAGCAATCATGGACCATGTTGGGGTTGGGGGCATTACTCAAAATTATGGACCACTATTGAAAGATAAACGTTACTCTTGAGTTAAGCCTTATTTTGGTAACCTCTTCAGCAGCAATATCGTAGTGGGTTGCCACTACCAGCTTCTCTGTCCTCTGTTCGGCTTCCAATCTAATTCATAACCCTGGAATCTCCTGGTGGTCTCCCATCCAGGTATGGGGTGACCCTGATCATCTTTTTAAAGATCAGCCACAACCGGCTAGATGCTGTTGCTTTCCGTTGTTAGTCATATTCTAAAAGGGCAGTCACATTACCACCACAACAAAAAAGGTAGTTCTGGGGCACCTTAAGGACTAGCAACTTTATTAGGCAGAAAATACCCACTATTTTACAGATAGAAAATATGGACATGCTCATAATAGCTCAGGGATCCTATTTCCCATCCGCAATGCAATAGAATTTAACCCAAACATCCAAATGACGTCACCTCTGGCAAGATGTATTGACTTTCCTGTGTTTAATACCACTGTCGTCTTCTCCGGCAATTGCACACTCGGCTTTTCTTTGTGATAAACCATGTTTTGCTCGCACCACACTTGATTAGAGAGATCTGTGACCCAAAGATAGCGCAGGCGGAAAGCTTCAAGAGGCGTCTTCGCTCTCTTCCTCTTTGCTGTCCTCCGCTTCCCTTCTTCCACATTAGCAGGCCGAGAATCAACATGCTGAGGCCTGGAACCTCTGAGGGGTTGGGATTCCCTGCCATGAGCATGCAAGAAGTTCGGATTATCATATTTCTGCTGCAAGAATCCAGATGAGCATAAAATGGCAGTCAAAAGTAAAGATCACCCATGGGCAACACAAGTGATTTAAAGGTACTCAGTAGGAACACATTCCAGAAAAGAGTAACAAGAATCACAGAGATGGAAAAAGATACCCTTTAATGGCATTTTTTTACTCTTCTCTCTCTCTCTCTCTCTCTCTCTCTCTCTCTCTCTCTCTCTCTCTCTCTCTC